CCCCCCGAGGACGGGCGGTGGCCGGGGCTGGGGGTGCTGCTCGGCCGCCGCTTTAAACCGTTGCCCCGAAGGGCTGGCGGTGGTGCAGGTGCAAAATCAAACCGCTCTATCCCGGGGCGGCGTTAGGCCCCGGCACAGGCGGTGAGCGGTCCCGCTGCCGAAATCATTTGGGATGCGGAAAGTACGCCCAAAGTCGCCGCCGGACCGTGACGCGCCGGGGGCCCCCCGAGGGCAGGGGTGCTCGGAGGTGCCCGTCGTGTGCCGCGGAGACCCGCGCGAACTTTCCAGGCGGCGCCGATTGTTCATAAAGAGTGTTGGGACCTGGAAAGTGCTGCAAGTCATTAACTGGAGACCACAGATCTCAGGTTTTGGAGGAGAGTTTCCTCCACTCCCTCGATGAAATAAATGAGTGGACTGCCTCCCTCTGCTAGCAGCCCTTATTAATTAGGTAGGTTATTAACTTGAGAATCTCGAAGGAACTTCTTTCTTTCCGTCTTCTGCCAAGGACCTTTATAATTCGAACAGACCTTCTCCCTTCGGTCAATTTCTTTTAGTCACTGAGAGTCTTTGACAGCAGTATTTTTTCCTACACGGTCCTGCCCAAAACATCGCTCGTGATGTGAAGAAGCTGAGGACGAGGCACAGACCTGTGCAACCAGTTTTCTACCGCTCGACATCTCCTAGGATCGTCTGCCCGTCTAAAGAAGGAGCATAAAGTCCTAGCAGACGTGTCGGATCACCCATCTCCCCTTCTCCCGACCCGCTGGGCAGGTGTCAATGGCAGTGACCGGGAATACCCATGAATTTAGGGGCAAAAGAAGAACGGAGTTGACTTTTCATGTGACTCCAAGCGGGAGGATCAAAGCATATGCCTCAGCTACAAACCAGCTCCAGCTTATTGGAAAACGGATCTGAAATGAACATTTGCCACATGTTCTGGGCTTGCGCTGTATTTGGAAGGCTTGCTGTAAGTTAAACTGGAAAAATAAAGTCTAGAGAGCTGAGAAAGGAAATGTTTGTATGAACCTGATCTTTCCCTCTTTTTGTCTTAGCATGAGCAATGCAGCGGCTTTGCTCTCCTGCTGTGGGGGCCAAGGTCGAGCTGCGGAGATACAGCATCCCCGGGGTGCTCAGGGGCCGAACATCCCTTTTGGGGTGTTCCCATTCAAAGGTGGACCTTGAAGGCCAACAGCTGGATCCATATGGTTTAGCGGTTCAACATCTGGAGCAACACGGCCAGTTCACCGGAGTGAAGTTAATCAGTAGCTAAAGGACTGGTCTAGTCATGTAACCTCCGACAGGGGAAATGCTGGCATTACTGGCATTGCTGGGAGCATTAGCAGGGACTTCAGGTGGGATGTTATTCCAGCCCACCTGTCCTCCAGCTGACCCTTGGAAAGGGATCCTGCTGTTTGCCTTACCTCCTGGGTCAGGAAAGAGCCCCAGGAGTGCTCTTACGCATTTCAGGCACGTGGTGATGTGGTTGAATTCAGAATCGCAACCACAGAGAAGGAAAGATCTTTATTAATTTTTGTTTCAAATTCTTGAAACATGTTTATTTTTTCTAAGAAAAAGTTAAGTTCTCAACAGTTGGCAGTCAATAAGCAATGTCATTTTAGTCTTAACTTTAAATTTGGTACTTCTTGTATTTGTGATGGTCATTTGAGAAGTACAGATTAAACTCTCTCATTTTATGCTTCCTTCAGGGAATGCATATGCTTCATTACCATCTCTTTTATATTAATAAAGACTCTTCAAACGAAAAATGCCTACCAAGCCGTGTGTAACCAGAATGGGGATTCAATGAAAATGAACAAAAAATACATATTTTTGGGCGAGATAAAAGCTGGTAAGCCATGCTGGATTCGTAAAGAATAAAGATACATTTTTCAAAGCGTGACACAGGGGTTGGTTTACCAGCAGGGCTAAGGGGACTTCTGCTCCCCCACCCCTGTCAGCAGCAAGCCATTGGAGATCCTGTTCATATTGCCACCACCACATGAATGCGCAATCCTCTCTTCTTCTCATCTACCCGGCCTTTGAAGCAGACAGGTGTATTGAGGACACAAATTACTGTATTTGGGGAGTGGAGCTAATGTTGTTTCTGTTTCTTCTATCCTACAAGAATTTAGAAGTGGTAGATCACTGCCTCTCCTTTTTTTTTTTTATTCACCCATAAGAAGAGCTGCTTCTCTCCTGTTCCGTTCCTGCCCGCTTTTTCAACCTTGCATTAAACACTTACGGCAGTAGACAAGGTGAATACACTAGTATGAGGAAATACGCTCTTTATACCTCCAAAGAGGCTATTGCTAGCAAAGGTTCTTTTCAATCTACTTCAGCAAAATTTAGTTTCTGCTGCTTTTTCTCAGTTGATCTGTTTGCCCCTTCAAAAAATTCCGTCGGTAAACCTGAAAAAGATATTTTAATTGCAGTTATTTTTGTTCAGGTTTTAATATATGTTGTCACGATTTCAAACATAATGATGAACAGACTTTTAAAATACAAGTGTTTTACTTAAAAGAAATCGAATTTGAGTTAAATATCCATTCTTTTGTAAATTAATATAAACAATTTTTACCCACTCTGATCCGGGGAATGATTTGTTTCTGGATAGCTCATTGATTAGGCTAAAGTAGGCGCATGCATGGGTAGAGGGTCACAGTATGAAAAACTGGCTGTATACTTTAATTAGTAGAAAAATACAATAATATATAAGCATTTATTAAAGAATATATTATTAATATTTATTAATATTATTTAAGAATTTATTAAAAGTGAATGCTTCTCAATCAAGCTTCACTGAAATCCAGTTTGGTCCTTTTTTTTTTTCCCATTTCCAAATTACTTGCAGGTTTAATCCCTTTCCTCCAGAGCAGAGCTGAGGCACGATTAAGACAGCTTGTGAAAACTGCTTCTTCTCTTGCCTCCCCTTCCCGTGTCTGCGCTGTGCTGTAATGAGCAGTGACTTCAGCTCCATATACCAGCAGGAACCAAAACACTGTGTGTGCTCCCAGGCTGCCCCGGCCCCAGGTTGCACCAGGCGCTGCAGCCCCTACCAGCTGTTTTCCTCCTCAAACTCGGTCGCAAAGATGGTTTTAATTTAACTGCTTTTGCTCAGGCACCTTTCAGGGGTTGTTTTTTTTCTCATCGCTTGCCAAGGGCACCGCATTCCTTTGACAATTTCTATAAATCTTCATCTGTTTTAGTAATCCGTACTTAGTTTACCCTGATTCTGACCTGCGGAGCTTTTAAATCACCATTCCTTCGCGAGTGCCCATCTCTCAGCCCTTCCTTGCAGCCTTGTCCCCGCATGCATCCGGAGCGTGGGGGCACGTTTGCTCTCGCCCAGCCACATAACCCCTGCCCACGTACAGCACTGCCACTAAGTACTCTCATTTCTTACCCTAAACGTGGCAGGGATGCCACAGCCCAGGGATCCTAACAGGCCATTTAAAAAATACTCAGGTATTCCTGTTTTCAAAGCTTTTTATTTACCAGACCAATGAAAGGTGCTGCAACATGTGCCTGACTCGCACTCCTGCAATGCTGTTTTTCAGCATGCAAGGGGCTTACCTCCGACTAGCTGCATGCCACATTAGTATTAACAAGTCATCTACATGCTCTGAGAGGTGAAAAAATACCCCAGATTCACATCCAAGGATTTATTTTTCTCCCCTCCCCTCCCCCCCCAACGCTGAATTTGCAAGAGTTACAAATAGCAAGTCCTAAGGGCTTGGGGGAACTGCTGCAATGACAGGCTGGTTTTGGTTTCTTCAAATGTAAAGCAAACTGAAGCACAGCATGAGGGAGAGAAGAGGGGGGATAGCAGCTATTGTTTTACTTGTAGTGAGCAGTGTTCCTGCCACAGCGAGGATGGTTTCTACTTCATCAAGCGCAGAGCACAATGCCAGGGAACATCAGTTGCCCCAGTGCAGGAGCCTACCTAGAGGGGAGCAGGAAGAATGCCACCAGCCACAGCAGTAATGGATGCTCCAGGACAGGAGACCAGCTGCTTCAGTGGTTTTCTATAGTCCCATCTCTCGTGGTGGTGAAATGTCTTCTTTTTCTTTCCCTTTAAGAGCTTTCGCCTTCAGGCCTTCAAGAGATGTATGTGCATTTAACAGGAAAAAGAGTGGAGAGAGATGGGTGTTTGTTCTCAAAGGGTGGGGAAACCCGATGCTTCTTTTCTACCAGGATGATGAAGCATCGAGGAAACCTCTTGCATGACTTTACTACAAAATACTCCAGGAGGAGAGGCCAGAGCTGTAGCTGAGGGAACGGCACCTGCTGAGCTGCACTGCAGAGCTCACAAGCGAGCATGGAGACGGGCGTTTGCTATTGCAGCTCCCAGGATTTATCCAGAGAACTGCTCTGCACTACCAATGTCCTTTCCCTTTTTTGTTTCTCCAGAACACTACTCCCCACCCCACCACTGGGCTTTGCCGTCACCGCTTGGTGGCTGCCCCAGGAGGTCTCAGGATGGCGTGCGTGGCAGCTCTGCCCAAAAGCAGGGGGGAAAGCCACTCTCACCGTCCCCCTCCGAAAAGGCATGCATGCTGAAAAAGGCCAGACGAAGCACTGGGGGTGAGAACTTAGCCAGGACAGGATGCCAGGAGCACTGTGTTTTAGAGCTCAATTTTCTTCGGTTTTGAAACAACACCGGGAAGGGAGCAGCGTGAGTGCTGCCGACGTGCCGGGGGGAGCGGGCTGAGGTCCCCGGGCCGTCTGCATGCAGGTACCCTGGCTTCAGCAGATAGATCAACGTGCTCTTGTGTCAGCTGAAATTTGCCGCTGTGGCTTAAGTGGTGGATATTATAAACTGGTTACGTGTTGGCACGTATCAGCATGCAAATAACTCGGGAACCAAAGCTGCTGGGATACCACAATTCCAGCAGCCAAACTCTGAGCATCACCGGGTAGGGAGTAGGGTGGGTTATCAGACCAATTGTCCTCTTTCCAAACTACACCTAAATTGGGGTTAAAAGCAACAGTGCTTTACAAGGATGGCAAAGGTGAGTTTGATTCGCAGAGGTGAGTTTGGGGGCAGGAGGAGGGAGGCGAGAGGATCGTGCTCCTTATTCTGCCCCCGAAGTATGCTCTGGCTATATGAATCGCCGGGATAAGACATTGCCCACAAAACATAGAAATATTCCAACTATATTTGTTCTGCACATGTATTTGCTGAATTTCATTATTTTTTTCTCCCTTTCAATTGCTTTGATTCTTGGTTTTCCATTCTTAACTAAGGAGAAGAACATGAAAAGGCAATAACATTTCCCAGATGTCATTCATTTCAGCAGAAAAAT